GGGGACTCCGTTTCCCTGACCTGCAACAGGTGTGCAGAAGACACCGACTGGAGCAGTCCTTGGAGAAGCTGACAAAGGTCTCTGGTGGTCACAAAACGCAATTGAGTTTGGGAATTTAAAACAGCCCCGGGGCAGCACCAGTGGGGACGATGTCCTGAGAGAGAAAAGACGCAATGCTAGCAAACTTAGTCTGAGTGCAGAAAAATGAGATTTCACAAATAAAGCAGAATCTGATCTTAATTGCTACTATCCACACTGTTAATGCAAAGCGATGAGGAATGGGAAAGCCTTCTTATCCAAAGTGCATACATAGTTATATTAAATATAGAAAATTGAATATACAACAAAGTGTCAACACTGGGGAAGAAAATCATACAAGCGATAACATCCAGAAGTAAACATCGTTATTTCATTGTTTAGCCTTCCCATGTTGCCATTAAGTATGTCCCATGCTCTCCCATCATCCATAGGTTATGAAGATGCCACTCAGGAAGAGCTAAATAGATCACAGGACAAGGCATGAGGTGTGAGAGGCATAGCGTTCTTTGCCCTCTAAACACACCCCCTCTGTGTGTTCACAAAACCAGAACTTTTAAAATTCCACGCTATCCATGATTCCGCTTCTGGGTGTTCACTTAGAAGTACACAGTCGCCTTTCCAGCTGACATCAGGTCTGGGGTACCCAGCAGGGAGAGGGTGAAGGGGCTCACAGGAGAGAGTAGACCACAAGGGACTCGGCCATGGGGCTGTGGCAGTGAGGGTCTGAGGGGAGACTCCAAATACTGTACGAAAATGAACAATGATGTAAGAAAAATACGAATGCTAAAAAGTACAAAAATGCGGCCCTCCCTGGTGGCGCAGCGGGTTAAAGCACAACACTGAGAAGCTAAAACCACTTCTGCATGAGTTCCATCCCCGCCTGCCCCGGAGGTGACCACATGGCGTGCCAGACCTCTCCTGACCCACCCGCTGCTCCCCTCAGCAGTGGACTTCGTCGCTCTGCCTGTTCTGCTCCCCTCTCTGTCTCTGGTGAATCCTCTCACCGTCCTGCACCTCTGGCCTGTACCCTGGTTCTGTAAGAATAAAAAATAAATATTTTTTTAAAAAAGTACAAGAATGCTAATTCAAAGAGAAAGATGCACCCCCATGGCCTTTGCAGCATCGTTTACAATAGCCATGAATGGGTACAGTCTATGGCAAGCAGTATGGAGGTGTATCCAAATATTAAAATTACTGCTATTATTACTAATGGGTTGTTATTCAATCCAGTCATTCACTCCTCAGCACTGAGCAAAAGCTTCAAAAACCAGGACTTCAAAAGGAATCTTCACTCCCATGTTCATTATAGTGCTAGTTATCACTGCTAAGTTACTTAAACCACCTAATACCAAAAACCCAAGAGTGGATCAAAAAGAGGTGGCATATGTATGTGTGTATGTGTGTGTATATATATGTATGAATGTATAGATGGATTTGTATAGATATAGAATGGAATATTACTCTGCAATCAAAAAGGTACAGCCATGCCATTCACAGCAGCACAGATGTTGCCTAAAGGAGAATACGAAGTGAAACATGTCAAATGGAAAAAGAAAAATACCAACTAGTGTCATCAACATGTGGAATGTAAGGTAAATACATCAAGGGTCAGGTCAAGACAAACATGAAAAGTAATTATTGACAGCTGTCTGCAGAACTGAACGACCAAGGAAGAGGAGGGTGACTTATAACACAAAAAAGTCACAGGATGCAACGTACATCATGTGACCGTAGCTACCAAGCCTATATTCTGTATTTGATGGCTGAGAAAGCAGATAGTAAAAGTTCTCATCACAGGAAAGAAACACATTGCAGTGTGTGATGATGGATGTTACTGAGTGTGGTGACCAGGTTGCAGTATTTACAAATACTGAATTACTATTTTATATCCCTGAAACTATCATAAAGTCATATGGAATCTATGACTCCACAAAAATAATTAAATTAACATGCATAATACATATAGAAAGATGAAAGTAAATAAGAAAAGACAAACTCAGCAACTTCAACATACAGAAGTAAACATTGTTTTGCTATTTTCCCTCCCAAATGCTCATATCTGTAGACACACATGAATACACATTGACTGAATGACATTATACTTTAATATATACTGACCTGTTTACGAACTTTTACTTTAGAATGTTCTGTTCTTTTGTGTATGTGTGTGATTCATTTATAATTCTGTTTTTCACAGACTTTAAGTTATAATACTAAAGTGGCTAAGTATCGATTGCCTATTCTCTGGGAAGTTTCTGAAATAATTTCTTTCTGAATAATTGGTGGAATATGTTATTACAATGACAGGCAGGGTAAAGGCTATGAGGAGATTTTGGACAACTTATTCATTCTCTGAATGACTGCACATAATGTGTCCATTTTTAAATCAGTATGAATACCAAGGCAGTATACACATACACACAGCAGACCTCTCCTATCTCCTGCTGCTCCCCTCAGCAGTGTATTTCATCCATCTGCCTGTGCTGTTCCCCGCTCTGTCTCTGGTGAATCCTCTCACCCCGCACCTCTGGCAACACCCCAGCTCTTTATGCATAAACAAATGAAATAAATCTTTAAAGGAATAAAACAATTTCACTTTCATGAATTCATTTTCTCTTACCAAAATACAAGATTTTGAAATTATCTTGATGACATTATCATCGAGCCTATGTGGCATGGAGGGAAAGCAGTGACATTGGTACAATAGATACAGTACTATGACATGGTCAGTGCATGTTAGGGAAAACTAAAGAGTGGGCTGGAATGTAGGATAGAAACATAATGTTTTTAATAGAAAAACAACAATCTGCATAGTACAGGCTTCCCCAAGATTCTTTCTCAGATTTCGTCCCAACTCCATTGCTCCTTAACATTATCAGAATACACATCTCTCTTGACTAAATATTTGTTCATAGCTGTTAATTTATTGTTTCTTTCATTTCAGTTCCCAAGTTGATAGTTTATTATTTCTTCGAAAGCAACGCAAGTCTTTTGAGGGTGTCATGGAAAGACTGCTTGACTTGTTTATTTCTCAGGGAATAAATAAAGGGGTTCAATATGGGGGCAACAGATATATTAAGCAGAGAGACCGCCTTATTAATGGCCACTTCATCCTTAGCTGAGGGTTTGACATACATGAATATGCAGCTGCCATACGAGAGGGAGACCACGATCATGTGAGAAGAGCAGGTGGAAAAGGCCTTTTTTCTCTGCTGCACAGAAGGCAACCTCAGGATCGTCCTGATGATGTAGATGTAGGATAGAACCACACACAGCAGGGTCGTGATGAGGATCAACACAGCACTGACTATAACCAGCTGCTCTATCAGCCACGTGTCTGAACAGGAATTCTTCAGTATTGGAGAAGCATCACAGGCAAAATGATCAATAACAAAGCTGCAGAATTCCAGACGGAGGGCCAGGATGAGGGGTGGGAGAACGATCAGGAAGCCAGACCCCCAGCAGCAGCAGATGAGATTCCTACAGACCCTGCTGTTCATGATGGTCACATAGTGCAGGGGCTTGCAGATGGCCACGTAGCGGTCATACGACATCACGGCCAACAGGAAAAACTCTGTGGCCCCACACAGGACAAGAAAAGAGACTTGGGTAAGGCAGGCTTCAATCGTCATGGTCTTGTCCCCACTTGGTATCATGTACAAGTATATAGGGACACAGGCACTAGTGAATGAGACCTCCAAGAAGGAGAAATTTTGTAGGAAGAAATACATAGCAGTTTTCAAATGGGCGTCCACAAAGACGAGAACAATGATGGTCAGATTCCCCATTACGCTGAACACGTATGCGAGAAACAGAAAGAGAAACACCAAAATCTCTAGCTGTGGGTCACTCGTCAATCCCAGTAGGGTGAACGTTGTTATGGCTGAATGGTTCCTCATGGCTGTTTCATGCTCTTGCCCAATCTTCACAGAAAATGTGGGTGAGGAGTAAAGTCAAATATGACAGAATCAGTCTCTACTGACACCAAGAAATCTAGTCACACACGTACATTTTCTCTGTAACGAACAGACTGGGCTGCGATGAGGTAATCCCTCAGCACCACTGAGATGTGCTACAGGGCACTACGTTTATGGAAAGTTTCTCCTGAAAATGATGGCTACTGGTTGTCACGCCATGTCAGGCAGCCCAGCTCACAACACGGTTTCTATGCGTGGTTTCAAATCCATGACTTGGTAAGAATTCCTATTGGGTAGGAGTGATACTTTTTGATCTGTATTTTGATGGGTCATAGTCTCTTAATTACAAAACTGTTTTTAAATAAACTTCTTTGTTTATTTATTTTGTCTCCCCTCAGCGCAGTCTCCAGAGCTGTCCCACCCCCAGGTGCTCACATTATCCCCACACGCTACACACTCTCCTCCCTACCTGTCCTTACTCCCCACAGTCCATCCCCAATTACAAAACTTTGGACTCAAAAGATAAATCCTAAAATCACCTTGCTGCTGCCATGGTACCTACAGAATGTGTGATGAGGATGCTGGTGACACCCTCCAAGACCCTCCAGATCTATTGAAACAAACTTTACTTAGTTCATATTATTAAAAGCCAAGGTACATTTTTCTCAAAAATGTCATTTGATAGCTCTTTTGTCTGACTTTCCCGAAGATTCTATATATTCCCTTGTTTTCTATTTCTGTCCTCAGCACACATCCAGACTTTCTCTGGGGTTCCCTTTTTTCTGGCCAGAGATGTGTACTCCATGGATCACTAAAGCAGAGTTAAGTGCACATGGACCTCAGAAGTGCGTGTTGGAATCAGTCATATCTCTGTCAGCACACGCTGAGTGACCGGAGCAAGTTGCTTAACATCTCTGTGCTCCCAGCTTCCTCTCTGCCAGTGGGGATCCCAGAACCTACACAGAAGGGCTCAGGGGACTCAATGAAGTAAACATGGGACGTGCTGACCACAGCACTTACACACGTGAATATACACATGTATTTGGTATGATTTTCTTACCAAACTGTCATCTCAAGACGGCTCTTAACCGCACAGGAAGCAGCTCACCCTCCACACCCAATCTCTGTCTTTCCTGCATCTTCCGTGTCTCCACATTTCTGCATCACATCCATCAGAAACATTCTCTGGCGTTTCCTTTAATAAAAAAGGACACACTTGCTCTTAGGAAGGGGCCCACCGACAGCGTGCCCTTTAGACAGGGTCGACTTTAGAAACACGTGAATCTGCGTATTCAAAAATAAAAGCTCACACTGCCAAGCAGATTATTGACCTTTTGACCCAAGATCTTCCTGCTCAGTTTATATCAAAGTCACATGGACACTGATCCCCCGGACCTGGTAGCTCAGGGTCTCAGCAACAGCGACACAATGGTTGTTCCTGAAACAAGCTAACGGGAGACACTCGTGGGTGCGACTCTGCAGTCTCAGGTCAGTGGCCAGCTCCAGCGCCCACTGCAGAGCCACTGGCCACATGGACATTGGCCATAGATGAGTGGCCGGTCCATAAGGAGCTCTGCTAACTCTGACACACGCATCATGGTCAAGACCAGGACGACAACTGCTTAATGAAGTAACCATCTGTAATTTCATACTGGGGATGTGTTCAAGTATCTGTTAGCATTTTGCATCTGTGGAGTTAAATATTCTATGAAACTTAAGACCACCCATTTCTTTTTACCATTTTGGGCAAAATCATAGAATTTAGAAACTGCAAATGCATTTATACCATATTTCTACGGGACCATATTTGTCTGTGACTTCAAGCTCTTTAACATAAGAAAATTTAAAGCAGGGGCCCTCCGGGTGGTACAGTGGGTTGAAGTGCATCACTATGAAGCTGTCTGCAGCCACTGCGGCCAGGAGTGACTGGCCAGGGCGTGACACACAGGGCACAGCAGACCTCAGCTGTCTCACCTTTATGCTCCCCTCAACAGCGTGTTTCAGTGGATCCACCTGTTCTGCTCCCCACTCTGTCTCTGGGGAATCTTCTCACCACCCTCACCTCGGCCTGTACCCCAGTTCTTCTATGCATAAGTAAGTAAATGTTTAAAAAGGAAAAGAAAATGCAAGATCTTCTCACAAGACCATTTAGCTGTTTTCTTACTGACTTTCATGCTGTTTTCATACACCCTCATATGCTCCGTGAGATGAGAAAAGGCATGTAGATTCACTACAGGATTCTGTGAGCTGCAGACGTCACGACAGAGAAGGGACCTTAACCCGGCTCTCTGGGTAGGAAGTTTGTAAGTAGATGATACTGACACTCACTAATATAAAGGAAGAATTTTCTAGAAATGGAAAGTTTGACAATGGTCACTGAAATAGAAGGGATATCAGTAGTTAGATGGTAAATAAATGACAGAGGGAGGGAGATAAAAGGAGAGTAGGAACATAGAGACGCCTTAGTAAAGTTTATCTTCATATTACTCGAACCCCACTCCATGGGGTGCACCCCTTTAATAATCAATTCTGCCAAATTTTTAATCTGTAACTAGGTTTGTGTGCTCTATAAGTAATCTGAAAGTCACTGACTCTCAATAAACTATTAAAAAGTAACAAATTTACAATTTGTAATTCATATTTCATGGGAATAAAACATAATCTCAAATACCTTCTCCATGATTACATATTGAACACACCTGACTTGAACATTCCGATGCTTACCTGTAAGAGTGTCTATTGTTTCACCTGGAAACCATAACCCAAATGACATCGAGAACCCCACAGTGAAAAATACATCTAAAGACAGGGCCCTTTAAAAGCTTTCCCAGTCCTTTATCTCTAAGAACATATACTTATCACATAGATATATGTACATGGCTTCTGAGTGTAGAAGATATACCATCCTAAGTTAAAGTTAGAAAATATTTCCATGTACTCTGGGTCACTGAAAGCAAAACAACCGTTCAGAGGACAAGGAGTAATTCAGATGCTTCTCTAACTCTGAGAGACAGTGTTCTGATTATCCCTGGACCTTTTTCACACTCAGAAATCGGTGTCACTGATATGCAACCTGCATGTGGAAGACAAGAAACTACGGAAGTCCATAGAGCATTGATTCAGAAGTCTCTAATGAACCTAAAATGTAATTAGGCTGCGAAAATAAAAAACACCGTGGAAAGCCCCAATGGGGACAATGTCCTGAGAGAGAAAAAGATGCAACAATAGCAAATTTAGTCCACGTGTAGAGAAGTGAGATTTCACAAATCAATCAGAATCCACTCTGATTGACGAGTGTGCGCACTGTTCATGCAGTGCAGTAAGAGGGTAGGCATTAAGCTGGATTGATAGATGTTAATTGTGGTGATCAGGTTGCAGTACATACAAATATTGAATTACTAGGTTATATCTGCTACACTATCATAATGTCATTTGTAAATTATGTCTCGATAAAAAAATTAAATTGTGAAATTACAGCAGAAATTATAGCAGATGCTGATCGTAAGACATCGGGAGTGGAGGGCAGGAAAATGGAGAGAATGTGCAGACAGGAGATGAGTTTTCTGGAGGCCCTGTGCACCGTCGTGCAACTACAGTACTAACGCTGTACTGCATGTGAGATTTGCGAAGAGGCGAGAGCTCAAAATCACAGTTGCAAGAGGAAAGGGGAAACAGTCATTGCGATGTGGCAGAAATTTCTTTGTGGTGATTATTCTGCAATGTAGATGTATCAAAGCACCAACCTGTGCACCTTAAATAGCTGCAGTTTTATGTGTTAATTATATCTCAGGAAAGCTAAGAAAAAGAGCACAAGTCTCAATCTATTCCTACTAGAATAGTTAGGAGTAAAATAAACCATAACAATTTACAAGGCTTGAAAATAGAATAGAGTGGATTCATTTTATTTCCTTATTTGTCAAGTATTTGTTACATTTTTTTAATGTTTTCTTTAAAAAAAAAAAAGAAAGTGAATAGGCCCTCTCTGGTGGCCCAGAGGGTTGAAGCACAGCACTAAGAAGCTAAAAGCCACTTCAGCATGAGTTCCATCCCCAGCCCCGAAGGTGACCCACATGGCGCAGCAGACCTCTCCTGACTCACCTGCTGCTCGCCTCAGCAGTGGATTTTAGTAGATCTGCCTGTCCTTTCCCCACTCTGTCTCTGGTGAAGCCTCTTACCACCTGTGCACCTCCAGACTGTACACCACTTTATGTGTATAAACAGATAAATCTTTAAAGAAAGAAAGTGAAATTCTTTAGTTCTACGGAAAGGGGGACTGGCAGGGGACAACGGGGACCAGAACATTTGGGGTGATGGGTTTGCCACTAGCTTGACTGTTTGATAATTGCACAAGTGCATAGCTATGAAAACATTTCAAATTATACACTATGACCTGTGCTTTCTTATACAGTAATTTGCTGTACTTGAGTGAATTTGCTTTTTCATACAGCCACTGTGTCCACTATAATTAATGGAAGACAAAGCACACATCATCATGAAATTTCAAAAACCTTGACTACAGACTAGCTCCTGGAAATTGCCGGGGAGAAAGCGAGAGGTAAAACATCACACTAGATTGGATTTCTCAAGAGCAACACCCAGAGG